GGAGGTCTTGAGGGATCTCCAAAAAGCAGTTGGATGCGTTTTGTGGCCTTCTTGGGGCCTCGTGGAGGCATGTTGTTAGCTATCTTGAGCCATGTTGGGCTATCTTGAGCGGTCTTGGGGGCCATCTTGGGCTCCCTGAGGCCCTCTTGGAGCCCTCTTCCCCTTCGGGGAGGGATTTATCATTGTTCTTTGTTGATATACACCCCCTCCCACACCCGGCCAGCGGCCAACCCAGAACCATGCCGACTCCATGCGGGCCCGCCCCCCACCATCCCTGTCAAAAATACAATGTAAATAGCACTCAGCCTCCACATTTGGAACATGCGCGGCCAAACCGATGCGCCGCCCCCCCACCCCACCATCCCTGTCACAAAAACAATGCAAAGTACACTTTGGGGCAAAGTCTTGAGTCATGTTCGTGAGGCCCGCGATCACTTTGTATTGTTTTTGACCAGGACGGCGGGGGTGTGAGCATATTCCCTGCTGTGCGCAGGGCTACCATCCCTGACAAAAAACAATACAGCATGCACCTCGCGGCTAAATCTGGATCATGCGCGGCCATCCCACGATCAAGGTCATGTGGTTTTTGACAGGGACGGTGGGGGTGGTGGCGCGTGGCCTGCTGTGCGCAGGCCCACCAGACACAATGATGGGCATTGCGTTTCGACAAGGATGGCGGGGGCCGACATGTTTCCCGATGTGTGCTGTCACGTGCGCATGCGTATCTGACGCACTCTGCACGTGCCCCGAACGTGGCGCACCTGGTGCGGCTGGAGTGCGCGACACGCCTGGCGCACTCGGAGCACGTGGCGCATCTGGCGCACCAGACGTGCCTGTGACGCTCGGGCCCCAGGGGTGCATGGCGCGCGTGGCGCCCCTGGCACGCGTGGCGCATCTCGCCCACGCGTCGCGCACCTGGGGTCGACTGGTTCCCAGTAGCTGTCCATCCAAAGCAGAGCAGAGCAGGTCCCGCACAGCCACAAGGCCGGTCCTGCACAGGACACGGGAGAAAAATAGCATGCACAGGTATCTTGCAATACACAAATAAATTCACAACACTCGCACCACACCCCAGCACAGACGACCGCTGAACATGCTCAGGCTCGGGTGTTACTTATGTGTTGGGAGGGCGGGTGGGAGTGAGCTAGACGGCTTGCGAGCGGGTGGGTAGGTTGACCCTCCCCCTACCGCCTCCCCTGGACCTGGACGGGGGGGGTCGCGAGCGGTCAGGGCGTCCAAGATGGCCCAAGATGGGTTCTTGTGGAAGGGGAAAGAGAGATCTAGTCAGACCGCTTGTCGCCCAGAGGGCTGGCGGGATTCACGAGTCTGTAAAGGAAATGGTGCCCAAACCAGCGCGCGCCTGCCGCCCCGACATGTCAGCTTGTGTTTCAGGAAGCTCTCAGCTTGTGTGCGCCCCCCCCGCCGTGGTTGGCTGGTGGATAGGCCCCGCGGGCCGCGAAACTGTGTTTTGAATCTCGCGCCCTGGGTGATGGCGCGTGGTCCCATCATGGACGCGCACAAATCGCCCACGGCGTCCGAGCTAGAGGAGACTTGCATGCTGCACTGTCGCGGGCTTGTGTGCGCTATGTCATGTCCAAGCGGCCTTGCGTTTCTATTCGGCTGTTTGCCTTGCCTGCTGCCTTGAGCTTGGGCTCACAATTTGTAAAGCCCGTTCCTCGGTTTCTTCCCGAACGACGCCGGAGCCGGCAGCGGCTCCAGCAGCGGCGAGGGAGCGGCGGCAGCTGGGGGCAGGGGCAACGCGAGCGGCAGGGACGAGCGGCGCGGCCTTTGCCACCCACCCTCCCGCCCGCCCGCCCTGTCTGTACCATTTTGGCCCCCCCCCCCCGCCGTAGCGGAGCCGCTCGCGTCGCGCCAGGCGACGTCCTTCCTTGCGGCGGGTCGCCCGCTCTGATCACGGCCACGGCCGTGATGTGCCTTGATTGGATTGGCGCTCCGCCGCAGCCGCAGGACAACGACAAATCACGCTCGCAGGGTTCAGTCCGTTGGTGGCAGGTCACCCCTGCACGGCTCTTGAGACGTGTTCCCAGCACCTGCCGAGTGTCTGGCAGGCTGGACTATTCCAGGGGAATGTACGCATCCGTCCAGCATATCTCCCGGGCGAACGCGAAGGAGTTCTCATTGTGCGAAGCGAGATCCCCACAAGGGAGGGAGCAAGTTGATTTCTTTTGGCTTGAGCACGTGGCTGGGATAAGCCGTGAACATTCTCATGTGCCCAGGATCAGCCGTTCTGGCTTTCGCTGGCTGGCGGTGGGTTTCCATCCTGCCTGTGACAGAGATTATCAGCGGGGTGCGCGCCCTGAACGGGGGCCCTTCCCTGACACATGAGTTTACATGGACTTTTCGTTTTCGTTCCGGGGAGCGCACCCAAATCCCCCCCCCCTGTGCGCGTCCCTCCTCCTCCACCTCCATGTCGTTGTCTTCGTCGTCGTCCTCCTCTTCATTCCTCCTCATCCTTCTCCTCCTCCTCCTCCTCCTCCTCCTCTTCCTTCTCCTCCTCCTCCTGCTCCTGTTCCTGCTCCTCTTCTTC